ATGTGTATGATTACAAAATGAATCGTATTAAAGACTAGCCTTCTCTAAATATAATTGAATCTGTAGCTTTTATGGTAAAGTCGTTATTGAAGTTTTTTCTGAAATTTTAGTTTCCTTTTTGCTTCAATAACAACTCCATAAATAAATGATCCATAAATAAATGATCGTTAAATAAATAAACAAAGTAGAAAGGACCTTCAATCGTATTAAAGACTAGCCTTCTCTAAATATAATTGAATCTGTAGCTTTTATGGTAAAGTCGTTATTGAAGTTTTTTCTGAAATTTTAGTTTCCTTTTTGCTTCAATAACAACTCCATAAATAAATGATTCATAAATAAATGATCGTTAAATAAATAAACAAAGTAGAAAGGACCTTCAATCTCATTAACAACATGTTAAAAACAAAACAATTCATCTCATTAGCTAACTTTGATATATTTTTTTGAGTTTTAATGTGTTGCTTGTGGTACATGCATGTATTCAATCTGCTTTATCTCATGAAAAAAAGCATGTTGCCCATAACAACGAATGCTCAATGAAGTGTGTCATCAATGGTCTAGTTATGATTAGGTATGTGTTGGTTCAATCCCTAAGGTATTAGACATACTATTTGGTTCAATTTAATTTTATGCTTTGCTTGGATCACTAAGATCAAAAATTATGTTGAACCTAAAAATATCTTATCAAGGTGCATGAAAGGCTAGCAACCTTTTGGCGAAGTTTTACTAAGCCATTAAGCACAGGTCTAGAGCCACTGATAGAATGGCAGATGCGTTTAGAATGAGAATGATCCTCATTGTCACTATCAACAATAAATTTGTTGGCTTCGAATCATTAAAAGATATATACAAAGACGATGATGACTTCAAAGTAGTATGGGAATATATTGACACAAAGCAAGTTAGCAACACAAAGGTGACTTTTGTATACTGGAGGGTATTTTTGCTACAAACTCATGAGGGATTAAAAGATAACCTTTGTCATGATAAAGCCATTGTTGTAGAGGAGATGTATTTTTGCGACAAACTCATGAGGGATGTGGGTAGTTTTTTCTGACAATGTCTAGCATGCCACGAATAAAAAGGAAAATATCAAAACACAAGTCTTATTTATATGCATTTTGTGTTCCTTCAAGCCTATAGGAAAAAATCTCCATTGACTTTATCTTAGGCCTTCCTATGATTGAGAAATGAGTTGATTATGTATTCATGGTCATAAAAAAAAAAACTTTTAATATTGGCCAACTTCATCCTATACGAGGCCGTCTAATGGTAAGCACGTATCCAAACTGTTTTTTAGGATGTTGTTTTTTGCATGGTGTTCATAAATAGTCTTATATTTTGGCTAACTCTCTAGGCATGCTTCGAAAAATAATTCAACTTCAACATCACTACTAATCCATAATCTAATAGGCAAACTGAAGTTGTCAATCGTATACTTTAGACCACGAATTGATATTTATGTGAACAAAAGCCGAAGATATGAGATGATGACATAGCTTAAGCTCAATTTCCTATAATATTGCAAGAAAAAGATCAATAGGGATCTAACTATATGTTTTCTTATACAAAATTCCTCAACGATAAGTGGTTGATTTGGTCGAATTTTTTGGGAAGGCGAACAATACATCCTACAAACTTGTAAAGGACACGTACATGAAAATGACTAGCAAGCATATAGGCATGCCAAATACATTTGATGTGGGTGATGATGTCAAGATCAAACTATGCAAGGATTTGTTTTCCGTAGGAAAATACGATAAATCGAGTCAGCAAAAATATGACTCCTACAACATATTACTATGATCAATGACAACAAATATATCATTGACATGTTGACCATAATTTTCATTTCAAAGGCATACAACATATCAAATTTCAACAAGTATTATCCATAAAAAGCAATTATTTACCTAGAGAACTTGAGTTCAACTTCTTCTTAAGTATGGGGAATGATGATAAGCTTTTTAATGTAGAAGCATTTATAGACAAGTGGCTAAGTGACATATAGTCCAGAAAAAGCTAATTTAAAACGAGCATATTTATCATCCATTAAGAGTTTGGATGTCCGTTTTATATTGTGGAAAGCTCTCAACGAGTCGATATCTTAAAAGACCTTCAAAGGCTACAAGTCGCCACTTAATTTCAAAACATATCTCCTCAATTTTTAGGTTTCCCTATTTTCAGCTTATTTCAATATTTTGTTTAATTATTCTTTTAGTAATGCTATATAAGATTTCCCTCATTTTTTTCTCAGTTTATTGTGGAACTTAACTAGAGGAACTTAATGTCAATTGTAATTTTCTTAAATTTTTTAATTCATGTCAAACTTAGCTTCTCTTATATAATAACGTGGTGTTTGGTTTGCAGAATGTTTTTGAAGGAAATGAAATTGGAATTAGAAAATGAATCTGTCATGAATTTGAATCCAATTCGATATAGTGCTTGGTTGGATGGAAAGAAACGGATTTAGAATCCATGTAAAATGATAGATATGCCCTTTTTATCTGCTTTGCTTAAGTCTAATTTGATTTCTATCTTACACATAAAGATATATTACATAAACTATGAAAAGTAAAATTTCATTTTATTAATTGAACATTCATGTCGGTGGTAGTAGTAGGAGATGGTGGCGGTTGATAGTGACAGTGATAGATAGTTGGTGGTGGTGTTGGTTGATAGTGACAGTGATAGTAAGTGGTGGTGTTGGGTGGTGGTAGGTAGTGGTGGTGATAGATGGTGGTGGTGATGCTGGTAGGTGGTGGTGGTGGTAGTTGTGGTAGGTAGTGGTGGCGAGATATGAGTGGTGGTGGTGGTGGCGATGGTAGTAGCAGTGGTAGGTGGGGGTGGTGGTGGTTGATAGTGGTGACAGTGGCGGTAGGTAGGTGGTGGTGGCAGTAATGGTAGCGAGGGTAGGTGGTGGTTGTGGCGGTGACAGGTGGTGGTAGGTAGTAGTGGTAGGTGGGTGGTGGCTATGGTAGGGATTGGTGGTGGTTGTAGATGGTGATTATGGTGGCAGGTGGCAGGGATAATAGGAGGTAGTAGTAACGCTAGGAAATGGTGGTGGTGATAGTGGAGGTAAGTAGGTGGTGGTGGTAATGGTTTTGGTGGGTGGTTGTGGCAATTGCAGAAGGTGGTAGTGGTGGTGTTGGTGGTAGGTGGTAGGTGGTGGCGTTGGTGGTGGTAGGTGGTAGGTGGGTAGTAGTGGGTGATGGTGGTAGACATTATGTTGTGCAATAAAACAAGGGTAATAAGGTAAAATGCAACTTTCCTTCCTATAAGAGCATTAATTCCATCATCTTCTTGAAGGAAAATATTTTTCCGTATTTGATAGAAAGTTTTATCATTTATGATTCCAGTTTCATCATACAAAGTTGAACCAAACACTGAAACATGATGAAATTAGAATCATTTTCTCCCAAATTTCATTCCATTCCAGTGAACGAAACACACCCTAAGGACTTTAAGCCTTTTTCTATTATCTTAGAAATTAATTAAGTCTTTCCCTGTAGGATTTCATTAAGACTGGTAGGTGTGAGCAACATATTATCACACTCAAAAGTTACCACCTCACCAGGCATGTCACCATGGTGTTATAACACCAATTAGAGAAACTTAACATGTTATAAAACCCTTTAATTTCCATGACATCATTTTTTTTCTTTCTTTTTTTAATAATTATAAAAACAAATACTTTAATAAATAATAAATACTAAATTAAACGTTACTTCAAAAAAATAAACACAAATGACAAAAACATTTAAAAACTTGAAAAAAAAAATTAAAAGTCAAAAAAATTATATTTTTTCCTTAAATTATTCATCTTCATGACCATGATACATATAATCCGCAAAGTCTTTATGAAGTTGTCTGTGTTTTTGTGCGCTTTGAATATCAACCACTCATGTGGTTCTCTCAGCCATTCTCATATAATCATCAATAAAATCGGACAACTCCCCCAAAGCCATGAACTTAATTGTCGCAACACATTTTCGCAACCATGTAAATCCTTGTTTACCTTTAGTATCATGTCTCGTTTAGAAAAATTCTTACCTAAACATATATTTAACAGGCAAAAAAATGTATTTATTTTATCTAAAAGCGACATTTATAAATTATAAAACTTGAAAAAAAAAATGATACCTTTCTTCTAAGATGTTGGCTATCCGTTCAACATATTTTTTTGTAAACGAAACCTTCTTTTGAAATCGTTTCGCTGGTAAACACATTTATCTGCAAAATAATCATTAATAAGGTGTCTATGTCATTCTTTACGATTTCTATTTAACGTCGCACGTCATGTGAGTAGTGGAGCTGGATCGGGTTGTAATAGCACGTCCGTAGAATACAGATACATCATAGTCACAAAGATATCGTCGTTGAACGGGTGATATGGATGCAACGAATCCATTTTTTTTAAAATTGTTGAAAGGTTTTACGAAATATAGAGAAAGTAAATAGAATGATGATTAAAAATTAGGTGTTGTATATGTATTTATAGGTTGAAAAAATGTATTCAATATAACCGTTTAAATACGGTCAAATAAGAAACTTAACGTTGGAATAAATGTTGTTACCCTTCGTTACCGTCACCACGGCCAACAACGTAAAGCCTAAAAACGCCGATGTGGGGCGATGTTGCATCCTTTGTAACTGCGTTATTATGTGCCATATCACAAAAACGGTTTATGCGTTGTCCACACCCGATAGCCTAAGACTTTCGTATTATGGTTTATGTTTTGGGTTATTACTGATAAAAATAGAAGAAATGTTTATGATTCCCCATAAAATGATTGGGCTAATGCCATAAAAACCCCCAAATTTTCAAAAAATATTCGGTTATGTCCTAAGTCCATTTTTATGTCCACAAAAACCGCACACTTACGCAAAAATTGTTATAGTTGCCCTTTTTTCCGATTTTACCCTTCTGTTGCATCAGTTATGTTTGGTTCTAACCTCACCATCACTACCTATCCAACCAATTCCCCTTCCCTCACACAATGACACCAGGCACCGACTCTACCAACACCTATAACACCACCGCCGAAATCCTCCACACAATCCGTCCATGGTTCGATGACTTCCTCTCCTCCTTTACTCTCCCTACTCATCTTCATCTTAACCCTAATTCTCCGCCTAGTCGCTGCAATCGTGTTCCTGTTCATCATTTATCATCTTCGTTTGGATCTTCCTCTTCTTCGCTAGATACGAACCCTTAATCATTTTCGATTTTGAGTTCAGATATCATTTGGTTCTAATTTCGTTGATCGTGATTACGATCGTTGTGGTTGTTGTCGCCGGAGTTTGGTGGAACCTCTTTAGCTCGATTCTGATCGTGGCTCCTTTAGTGAGCTTAAATGCGATATTGAGGACTCCTTATTATACCGAATCTCTATATGGAGCTTTGCTTTCAGGTGTTGATGAAGATGGAGATTCACGATGAGCCTACATACAGGTTTGATGAATTTTTGAAGAACAAATTCGATTTGATTTTAACAATACTTTTGCTTGTATGATATTTATGTATATGTAAATTGATTGATGATTATATCACTATGTTGTTTGAATGGCTATTTTTGTTTCATATGATCTCATATTTGTTGCTTATGGATTGTGAATTGTGATCTAATTTGTGTTCTTGCCAATTGTGAATTGTTTGAATCGGCTTATCTATTGAATCGAGATAAGGATGAATTTTTATCTAAATCAAACATGCGACCTTCAGGAAAAATTGCAACATGTTATATACCAAGCAAACCAAACACAATCTAATCCTAGAACCAAACATCCCCTAATGCCACACAAGGGTAAAATCGGAAAAAAAAAAAAAAAAAAAAAAAAAAAAAAAAAAGGCAACTATGACAATTTTTGCGTAAATGTGCGGTTTCTGTGGACATAAAAATGGAATTAGGACATAACCGAACATTTTTTTTGAAAATTTGAGGGTTTTTATGGCGTTAGCCCAAAATGATTTGAGAGAAACAATAAAATACTTTTAAACCATTTTTCATTTAAATATGCTTTATCTTAGTAATGATAATCTGAAATAAGTATATAAAAAAGAAACAAGTGTTAGTTTTGCAAATGGATAGCAGTCCCATTGTGAGATCATGTTCTTTCGTAGCTTGTCGGCGTTTTGATTTCTTTAACCTCAATTATTGGAAAAGTAGGAGAGTTGCAAGCATGAACAAGAAATCCTATGCAGACACTTGTCTTGTCTTGTATGTTCATCTGGCTTTTAGGCTTTATGAATGGTTGCTTCTTTCTTTATAATTCTTTTAGGAAAGGGAAATATACATTTAGATGTTTATCAGAAAGGCAATATTACACACACATTCGATCAGACTAAAACGATTAAAAGAATGTTTTTTCTTCTCGTTATCACTAGTCCAATTATTATTATTTCATTTAACTCAATCTAATCAAATTATTTATTATTTATAAATAACTTTTTATATTGTTTAGATTATAAACATAAGAAAGGAGTTATTTAATTCATTATTATATCTTCAAGATTATGAAATACAAAATATAAATGTATTGGTATTTATATATTGAGATTTCCTTTTTTTTATTTTAGTGTATTTCAGTCTTAGATAAAATATATTATAATTTATAACATATTACATTTTATTAAAAAAAAAAAAAAAAGTGAATTCAACCAATGAATAGTTGACATTTGGATAAGAAATAGGGAGCAACCTAATGAAAAATTGTTTTATTTGGTTTGGGTCACAACTGCGAGTTGCTTAGTCATAGCAAAGACGGTTTCTTAAATAATAGTTCAATTAAAGGTTTACCTAACTGTATAAGACGGCGAAGTTTTTTTTTTTTTTTTTTTTTTTTACATTTTTTTTTAAATTTTAATTTTAAATCCAATGAATCGTTTTAATTAGCCTGTCAGTGTCTTATACAATATAAACGAGTGAAATCTATTATACAAAAAGGTAAAAAATCCTTTTTAAAGTCTTTTACTACGTATAATAAAATCTCAATTAACATTTTGATACGAATAGTTTTTAATCTCATTATACCAACCAAGTCTTTGCAATTTTTTTTTTTTTTTTTTTTTTTTTTTTTGCAACGGCGGATATTTTGTTTTATTAAGCTAGCATAGTAAGCAAAACAATCCAAATACAATAAAGAAAAGAAAAGTATATGAACCTGCGCCCAACCTACCCGGATTTTGGCGTCCATCCTAAACCAATTTTCACCCAAGTAACAAGTCGAAAACAATCACATCAAATAAATAGCATTCTTAGGATCTTACAATCAATCTACCCAAATTAAGTTGTCTATCCTACACCTGTTGTTCCTTCAAGTCTCTCCGTATGAAGAAGTTGCATAAAGAACACCTTGAGTTGATGTTTTAATATTTTATGCCATTGTGTTGGTATATTTGGTTGTTCAAAATTTATGTGTCCGTTAGTTGGAGTAGTACAGAAATGAAGATTTGTTTGATAAAATTGTTATCCAATCGTTTTTTTATTCTTTGGGTTAACGTTTTTTATAATTGTTCAGCAAGCAACCTATTTAGTTTAAGTCTTCACAACTTTTTTGTGAGTTAAAAAAAATCATTCAAACAAGAAATACCATTTTTTTCTAAAGTGTACAAGACACTATAATATGTTTAATGCTGAGCTTTTGAATGTTTATAAATTTTAGTCTTGTTTAAAAATACTAAATTAAAATAAATAAATAAATAAATAAATAAATAAATAAATAAAAACTATCTATAAGTGTAAACATAAAATATCATTTTTTTTTAAACAACAAGTATTAGTCCAAAACTACACTATAGTTTTGAAGAGATTGTATAGTTTTTCTGTTATTTCTTGGGATAATGACTTAAAAAGATAATATATTTTTTAACTTGTACACATTTAGTCACTGACTTTTTTTCATCAACATTTACTCCTTCAATTTGTTAAACTGTACGCATTTAGTCCTAATAACCGGCTACTCCAGGTTAACCGGTAAGAATGACTTAATAGAATAATATATTGATCACTTTGTACACATTTAATCCTTAATATTTTTGTATACATTTAGTTATTAATATTTTTTTTGTTGCAAAATAAGTTATTTTTGTTTTTATACTCATTCAGTACTTATGAATGATTTCTTTAGGTTTTGTCACGACATCTTACATGGCATAACCATATGGTGGTAGGATAGGTTGAGGTGGTCCTGTTATATGTTGTAAGCCAAGATACCTAGTGCGGGTCAGTTGTAAGTCATAGGCATGGATGCTTAAGAAGAGCGGTTGAGTTAAGGCAGCATGCCCACAAACCCTGAGTATTCCAATCTGATGATTGATTGAACATGTTGCATGTTGGCATTCCAGTTCGATGACTGATTGGTCTAAGGTATTCCAGTCAGATGAGTGTGGATCCGTTATGCATGATAATACGTTTGTTGTATCAGGTATTTTTGGGGAAACTCACTAAACTTTATGCTTACCCAGTTGTTAATGTTTTCAGCATTTATCGTTAATCATGGAAGGGCGAATGCATGACTCTACATACTCATCAACAATATTGAGGGTTCCGCGTTTCTTATATTACTCTGATTTTCGATAAATGTATTTTGGAATAAACGTTTTTTTTTCTAAATAAGGAATTTATAATTAAAGACTTTTGCCTTATTTAAAAATGAAAATTTTTTGTTGTGAAAAATAAACGTTACACATAAACATCAACAACCCCCACATACTTTATCAATGATTGTCCCACATAAGATGACGTGAGAAAAATCTAAGGAAATCATTTATAAGTACTGAATGAGTACAAAAACAAAAATGATTTATTTTAAAACAAAAAAATATTAAAGGTTAATGTGTATAAAAATATTAAAGACTAAATTTATACAAAATTAGAAATATATTACTTTATTAAATCATTTTTCCCGGCTAACCTAGAGTAATCGGTCATAAAGACGGAATGTGTACAGTTTAACAAGTTGAATAAATAAATGTGGACGAAAAGAAACTCAGTGACCAAATGTGTACAAATTAAAACATATATTACCTTTTAAAACATTATCCTTTATTTTTTACGTTTAAAAGTTTATTAGTAATGAATATATAAATAAAAATAATTTCTTGTTTCAGATTTCACTTAGTGCTACTAGGCAGTTTTTTCAGATATATATAATTATTACAACGTTCGGATGATGGGTATTTGATTGTCTAATTATAAAAGATAACTTTGATACATGCATACTTATTAAATATTCTTAATTGTCGATTATGCAGCATTTGTTATTTATTCGGAATTAACGGTTTTTGTTTTGTATTACGTGGTCTCCGATTTTTTGCATATCCGCATGACATCATGTCCTATAATAAAATCACCATATTCGCATTTATTTTTCATTTTCTTTATATATATATATATATATATATATATATATATATATATATATATATATATATATATATATATATATATATATATATATATATATATACATACTAGCCGTAGACTCGCGCAAAGCGGCGGCGAAAAATAGTTTCTCATTCGGCAATAAGTTCTATATGGAAACATGTTAGATTTCAAGTAACACAAAACATATGCATGTTGTTATTGATCGGTTTTACGGCAACAAATAAATGTAACCATCGCAATACAAAAGAAACTAAATATTTTGGTGTGTAGTGTACGTTTATAGTTCTTCATTTTAGAAATCAGGACGCATCCATACGAAGTGACTTGCTTATACCTTTATTAGTATTGATAAAGTTAATAAAAGGGAGAATCAAAGTTAATCTTAACAACCCGTTTTGCTTGATACAGATAAGTCTAAACATATATATCCTATTATCCACTTTAATATCTAAAGTTTTAAACCGAAAAATAATAAAATTAATACAACCATATTTCATGGAACATGAATAACAAATAGAATACTAATTTTCTATTAGTCATAAATCATACATAGATATTTTTTCTTAATATTAAACAAAGTATTTGATTTTACAACTGATTGGTCAATTTCGATTAGAAGGCATAAACAATAAATAAAGCGTAAAAAAATTACAAATAAAATGACCTATATAATGGATTATTTGTTTTATTTTAATTGGATAAGAGATCGGGTCAAATGGAAGAGATAAGATTTCAAAGATAATCAGATTAAAATTTAATATTATTTTATTCATGATTAGTTGTACTTTACGTTTAGAGAGTTGAACGTCTTAAAAAAATAATATTATTTTATTGGATCTATTTATAGAAATAGTAGGATTTCTTTTATAAGTTAGTAAAGATATATATATATATATATATATATATATATATATATATATATATATATATATATATATATAGACTTAGGTTATTCTATTCAAAATAATGATTGTATTATTGTATGTATAAATATGAACCAATCAATTTTACTTATTTTAAGAAAGTGAATAATACATATTATTAAATTAAAGAT